AAAAAAAAGAATGTTTGGGTCAACCAGGAAATTAAAGAAGAACTTAAACAATTCATGGAAACCAATGAGAATGAAAACACATTGGTCCAAAACCTATGGGATACTGCAAAGGTGGTCCTAAGGGGGAAATACATAGCCATCCAAGCCTCACTCAAAAAAAATAGAAAAACCCCAAAAACACAAGCTAACTTTACACCTTAAAGAACTGGAGAAAGAACAACAAATAAAGCCTAAGCCAAGAAAGAGAAGAGAAACAATAAAGATTAGAGCAGAGATCAATGAATTAGAAACCAGAAATACAGTAGAGCAGATCAACAAAATTAGAAGCTGGTTCTATGAAAGAATTAATAAGACTGATAAACCACTGGCCACACTTATCCAAAAGAAAAGAGAAAGGACCCAAATTAATAAAATTATGAATGAAAGGGGAGAGATCATAACTAACATCAAAGAAATAGAAACAATTACTAGAAATTATTATTAACAACTATATGCCAATAAATTAAGCAACCTGAAAGAAATGGATGCCTTCCTGGAAACCTATAAGCTACCGAGATTGAAACAGGAAGAAATTGGCAATCTGAATAGACCAATAACCACTAAAGAAATTGAAGCAGTGATCAAAAACCTCCCAAAAAACAAGTCTAGGGCCTGATGGATTCCCTGGGGAATTCTACCAAACATTTAAAGAAGAAATAATACCTATTCTCCTGAAGCTGTTTCAAGAAATAGAAACAGAAGGAAAACTTCCAAACTCATTCATTGAGGCCAGCATTACCTAGATCTCCAAACCCCAAAGACCCCATCAAAAAGGAGAATTTCAGACCAATATCCCTGATGAATACAGATGCCAAAATTCTCAAGAAGATTCTAGTTAATAGGATCCAGCAATACATTAAAAGGATCATCCATCACGATCAAGTGGGATTTATCCCCGGGATGCAAGGGTGGTTCAACATTTGCAAATCAATCAATGTGATAGAACACATTAATAAGAGGAGAGAGAAGAACCATATGGTCCTCTAAATTGATGCAGAAAAAACATTTGCAAAATACAGCATCCTTTCCTGATTAAAACTTCAGAGTATAGGGATAGAGGAACATTCCTCAATTTCATAAAATCCATCTATGAAAACCCCACAGTGAATATCATTCTCACTGGGGAAAAGCTGAGAGCTTTTCCCCTAAGATCAGGAACACGACGACGATGCCCATTCTTGCCACTATTGTTCAACATAGTACCAGAAGTCCTAGCAACAGCAATCAGACAACAAAAAGAAATAAAAGATATTCAGATTGGCAAAGAAGAAGTCAAAATCTTTCTCTTCACAGATGACATACTTTATGTGGAAAGACTCCACCTCCAAATTACTAGAACTCACACAGCAATTCAGTAATGTGCCAGAATACAAAAGCAATGCACAGAAATCAGTTGCTTTCTTATACACTAACAATGTAACTGTAGAAAGAGAAATTAGGGAATCGATTCCATTTACAACAGCACCAAAAACCATAAGATACCTTGGAATAAATCTAACCAAAGAAGTAAAGAATCTATACTCTAGAAACTACAGGACACTTATGAAAGAAATTGAAGAAGACACAAAAAGATGGAAAACATTCCATGCTCATGGATTGGAAGAATAAACATTGTTAAAATGTTTATGCTGCCCAGAGCAATCTATACTTTCAACACCATCCCAATCAAAATACCAATGGCATTTTTCAAAAAGCTGGAACAAACAGTTCTAAAATTTGTATGGAATCAGAAAAGACCCCGAATCGCCAAGGAAATGTTGAAAAAGAAAAATCTGGGGCCATCACGTTGCCTGATTTCAAGCAGACACATAGATAAAACAGACACATAGATAAGTGGAACAGAATAGAGAGCCCAGATATGGATCTTCAACTCAATGGTCAAATAATCTTAGACAAAGCAGGAAAAAATATCCAATGGAGGGGCGCCTGGGTGGCTCAGTCGTTAAGCGTCTGCCTTCGGCTCAGGTCATGATCCCAGGGTCCTGGGATCGAGCCCCACATTGGGCTCC